AAACAGATTTGTGAATTAAGTCTTGGAATATTTGAGTGTTTCGACAGCTTCAGATCAGGTAGACTGGTTGAACATTAGTAGATCTTCAAACAACTGAATCAGATACCTGAGGAAAGAACTAACTTTCCTAGCAAGTGGTTTCACGAGTTGATTTTTAATAGCAAAGTTGTTCTTAATGACAGTGAGCACTCCCCCCAGCTGAATGAAAAGTTCTTGTACAAATTAAGGCTATTCCTGTGGATGCAACTATGGTAATATATGCTAACTGACCAGAATCAAATGGGAAAATATTCATGGGTGGTGAAGAGAGAAGAACTGAAGGGTGCCCAGCACCCTGATGATTCAGGGAAGACAGAAAAAGCAAAGAGGTTCCCAGAGTCCGAGGGGGAAGGAAGAGAAAAGAATGAGTGGAACCCTCAAAACCCAAGCCTTGGAGACCTAGGAGAATGAGACCAGAGATATTTTTGGCCAGGCCAGTGTAAGGAAATTTAGGGCCCGGGAACAAAGACCTGTTTTCTCATGGACCAGGAGACCTTGACAAAGATCTTGGATTTGGTGAAATGAGTGAGTGACATGAGTCAGTGAAATGAGGCTAGAACTGAAGAAAGAGCCTAGTTCCTAGAGGCTGTAAAATTCAGGGAGCCAGACCTGGGGAATACTTGGCTGGCCTCTGAACAGGACAGAGCAGATCTCTGTACAGTTCTGCAACTGCTGACCAGAACCCAGGCTGTACCCGAAGAAAGCCTCCCGAGGCCTGGAAGGGTTCTGAGCAAGCTCTGCTTTCGAGGCCAGGCTTTGAGGGAATGATCATTGCTAGAGTTGAGAAGCCATGATTTGGCCCACAGACGTGGATCTGGAGACTGTGAAGGCAGGACACCCTGTATTTCCTTACGTAAGCCAGGATTTAGAGTATGAGTTTAAACAAGATACTTCCCATCTCTGGGCTTCAATTTCCTCCTCCACAGGTTAATGTACCTCTGAGTTGTAAGAATCAGATTATGAGCTCAGGCATCAAAGTGCTTTGGTAATGATGTGAATGCTCTTCGTGTGAGTCATTATCCCAACCTCTTCTGCATCACTCTTACTAACATGGACCACAGGAATGCCTACTGCTTAGGCATCATTTGCTAAAAATACGTCTCAGACTCCTCTGAAGTCATAAGCAGTATCCTAGTAGTCTCTCAGTCCCCTCTGGAGGATGTGGACCACATGTAAGCAGAAGAGAGGTCCCCCTCGCAGCTGAATTAGGGCTCAGACAGGCTCTCTGTGATGCCTACAGCCTTGACTCCACGAAAGCTTTGAGGAAGAGAGAGAGTGTGTTTTTCAGCAGTTGACTTGTTCAGAAGTACAGATGAAGTCGTCAAAATGTCTTCCAGTTTCCCCCGGGATATAAGACCTTCTGTTGTCATGCTGTAACCGTGGTCTCTCTTCAGAGTGGCTAAACCAAGATGAGGCAACCACGAGGGCCAGACAGATGTCAAAATTTATTCCAGAACACCCTACTGAACGCAGGGAAGGTAGTGGGGGAAGCTGCTTCTGAGACTACAGAGCTCAAGCCACTAGAAAACCCATTCGAAAACTTCCCTATCTCACTTTTCACCAGCAGCTCAGTTAGCACCAACTCGAAAGTACGTGTGCACAGCTGCTGTGCGGTAACCGAAGTCCTCCTCATGGAGATGGAACGTCAGTCGGCAGCTCAGAGCGTGAATGAGTCCCTGAGGAACACCCACAGAGGAGCCTGGTGCTGCAGCTTCCTCCGGTCCGTGGCCTTCACACAGACTTTTGACTTCCCTGGTCCTCGCAGGTCAGGACAGGCTCAGGAGCGGGCTGGAGGCTAAAACACTTCGACCACACAGAGATAACCAGACGAGGCTGGGTCCTAAGCCTTCTCCCTGGCAGGGCCTCAGGCTACTCCAACAAGTGTAAAGAGGAAAATCCAGCAAGTGAGAGGCCAGATGGAGTCCTGCTTCTCCCACTGCAGTGCTCAAGGAGAGGCAATCTAACCTAGCCCCTGGGGCACAGCCACGGTCAGGAACCCGTGCTCTGGTCCTAACTGTGCCAATGCTCTGCTGTATAGCTCCTAAGTGGGTCACTTAACCTCTCTGTGTCTCAGTTTCCACATCTTTCAAAGGGGAATATGAAAGTGGCTTCCTCATAGTACTTCTAGGATAAACAAAGAGATAAAATGGAATAATCCATGTAAAAATCTAAGGGAACAGGTAGAAAAATGCTATGCAAAGTATTATCATTCAATGATAAGATGCTCAAAATGTTGTTCAGTGTCCTCAATCGTCACGCCCTCCGCCATACCCAATCCCAGCTTCAAGGCAATGAATTCCCTCAAAAAGAAAGCTCTTTTTCTTATTTTAGTAGCTTTGGATCTAACCAGTGCCTCTCTCAGCCAAGTAGACCCAAAGGCTCCTCTGGGCCAGGATGGCAACATTGAGGTTCCTTTTTTGGGGAGTCCAAACCATGAAGAGGCCTATAAAACATCAGGAAAGGGCCAGGGCACCTGTCCCTCTGAACCTCTCCCTGAGCCCAGGTTAATAAGGGTCAGGGGCAGCTCAAAAAGAAAAGTTAAGAGTTCCTAGGACCTTGACTAACCCCACTGCCAACCCATAGCCACACAGTAGGGCAGCATCCCCTTGATGCTCAGAGAGCCCTGTGGGCCACCCGCACGGGCAGCACAGACTCCATGTTTGCACATGGCTCACCTCCTTTCCTCTGTACTGTGTCTAGGAACAGAAGCAAGCCCCGTTAAAGAAGCAGCGGCATTTTCTGCATGGCTTCTACTACCCCTTGAGCACTGGCAATCCCCATGTTTCCTTCTGAACTACTGACATCCAGAGCTAGCTACCTTCTGGGCATCTTCTTATGTAGCTTCCACAGGAGAACACCAACAATTCAAATTTAACTTTTTCCTCCCCCCAAATAGGCCCTTCTTCCCATGCTCCCATCTCAGTGAACGGCAACCCAGTGGGCAAGACAGACCTGGGTGTTAAGCCAAAGGACTTTCTCTCCCTCACTTCTCATCACCAATCAGACTCCAAGTCCAAAAGCTCCTGTGATCTGATCTCTTGAAGTCCACGCTTCCTCCTTATACCCATTGTTACAGGTTCCAGTCAACCTTTCCTCATTCCCCTCTGTACTATTTTGGTCTCCCTTCCTACAGCTAAAGTGACCTTTCTAAAATTTAATTCAAACTGTATCCCTCCTTGCTAAGAATTCCTCCCTTCACCCCTCACAACCCCCAAGACTGAATGCTAAACTCTAGAGCATAATTTACAAGGCCTTCCAAGTACTCTGGTTCCATTCCCATTGCCCAGTCCACCTCATGTTTCCACCAGGCCAAGTTATCTGAAACCCCCCTAAGTGCCCCAGGCTTTCTCTCACTTCTGGGCCTTCCTACTAGCCATTCCCTTTGATTATTTAGTCTAGCCCTCTCCCTCATCCCCTTTCAGTAGCCTAACTTCTTCAAACCTCAGCTTAAAATCATGCATGTCCCCTAGGAAGTCCTCTGTGAACAGTTTTTCCAGTGTTATGTGTTCCTTCTCTACACCCCAGTGACTATCCCAGCACTTTATCACATTGTTGCTTATTTAACTGTCTCTCCACTAGTTTGTAAGCTCCAATGTGAGGCTCTTATTCACTGATACGTGCCTGACCCCTAGGAAAACATCTGGCACATACTAGGAGACGAATCTATATTTTTTGAATATTGAGTGAATAAATAACTGGATGGATGGGTAGGTAAGTAGCCCAAGTATAAGAAGTTAAACTCATGAGAGCCACAAAGGGCCCATTTACAGCATCTCTATGGCCTCTAGGGTAAACCGTTTCCTACAGGGCAGGACAGGCCCAGCACAGACCAAAACCCACTAATACCAGAGGCCTAGCCAGATTTCAAGAGCCACCAGGGATTTCCAAGTTACAATTTCATCTTTGCCATCCCTTACTTTTCTGAAGTCTCTTCTCACGTATCACAGGGATAGACTAAGATATACGTGGCGATGGTGCTGGGGGAAACACGGTGAGGGGCAGGTACACAGAGCAGCTGTGGAACTGGGGCTGCAGAGCCAGAGCCTTGTGCAGGGCTGAGTGTGCAGGCTGAGGGGTACCCAACACCTGACACAGCTTCAAGTACATGGCTAAGAGGAGGCGCCAGGAGGCCTGAGGGTACCAGACTGGAGAAGGCAACAGGATAGTGGAACAAGGCCAAGGGAGACAGGGAGGGCCGAGTGCGGTTCCAGCTAGGAGGGTGACCGGGGTGAGGGTCAAGGGCAGGGATAAGGGGAGGACAGCCGACGAGTTGTGGGGTTCTGGCTGACTGCCAGAGTAAATGAACACCTGTAGCAAGCAGGTAAATCAGTGGATAGGAGGGACTCCAGCAGCTTATCTTCAAGAGCTCTCAGCAGCCCTAGCTGCCCAGCCACCTCTGCAGGACATCCCTGCAGACCACTCACCCAACAAACTCCACTGATTCAAATTCTCAAGCCAATCAACTTTGGGTCGTGCAGCCACATAGAATATTTTCCTCATTTTTGTTGCAGAGAAAAAACAGTTCAGTCTTTGGATTCTGACAAACCTTGCTTTAAATAAATGTCAGCCCTTTCATCTACTAGCTATAGGGCCCCAGACCTCAGTTTCCTCAGCTAGAAAATGGGGACGGCCCCCTCACAGATCCATGAAGCCCCAGGCACCATTCCAGGCACAGTGTAAGCGTGTCATAAATTGGCTTTCTTTCCCTTTTCCTTCCCCCTTCCGCTCTAAATGAAACCCAATTGGTCCCGTTTTAAGTGTGTGTGTGGGAGTGGAAATGGGCCTGAAGGAGGACCTATGCTGCTGACTCATTAGGCCAGAAGGCCTGAGTCAGGGCTGTGTAATATCCAGGGATGGAACGGGGACACTCCTCCCCCCACCCAGTCATCCGCATCCAGGTCCCTGGGGTCTTGGCTGGCAGTGGGTCCCTTGCGGTCAGGAAAAGCAGGCTCCATTAGTACCTTTCTCACCACATTCGGAGAGGGGTGCCGGATGGTGCCGTCCAGTGCGGGTGCACCGGGAGGGGTTTCCTCCCCAGGCGCCTGGGGCGAGCTAGCAGCCGTATTCTTGTCAAGAGGGACAGCTGGCTTTGGGTCTTCTGATGCTGGGGGCTCCTCTGAAGCCTGAAGGAGCAAATAAGAACTTGGGTGGGTTTTCCCGCAAAGAGCAAGAGCGGCGGCAAAGGCTGATGCCCACCCTGCATTGCCTATTGTCACCAACTACGCATTGTGAACTGCTGGAAAATTTTTCAGAAAGAAAGACCCTCTCTTCTAAACTCTTCGCGAGACTACCTCTTAATATGACAGTCTTAGGATAGAACCCAGACCGAGAATTCTGGGCTAACTCTGTCATATTCACCAAAGTAATCCTAACATGTCTGACTTACATTTCGCCTGTGGTCCTCAATGAACCCTGGACCTTTCTCTGCCATCCTCAGGATGATTTCCTATCTCCTCAAAGGAACTGAGCCTCAGAGGGAGACATCTGAAGCACGATCTGACATTGTCGGTGCTAAAGCATAAATGGGAGGCCTTATATTTTATAATAAAGTAAAAGTCCATAGAGCTGCTTTGAAGATATAAATGTCATTACAGATTTAAAGGAGACACCATGGGGGGAAAAGTGAGAAAGGATAGGGAGAAGGGGCTAGAATGGGAAACTCTGGAAGAAAAGAAAAGCACAGGTTACGGATGAAGACGTGGAATGCAGCAAAGATCCCAGAGGTACAATCTGCACCTCCTCAATTGGCTCTTAGCGGAGAGAAGAGAGGAGCAGCATTCATCACCCCCCCCAGGGGGAGAACGAGGCCTCTGCTGTTGAACTACAGTCAGCAGACCGGGATCCAAGTCTTGGCTCTGTCACTCAATGTTTTATGATCTCTAGGCGAAGTGCTTGCCCTCTCCAACCCTCACTTCTGTGCCTATAAAAAACAAATGGCAATGCCTGCCTAACACTGTTGGTCGGATAAATAATATAGTATATACAAAACATACCTAGCTTAGGAGGTTTGAAACAAATTTTAAGTCTATAGCTGTGTGGTGTTACAAAGATGCGGCCCACTAGTATCTGATGCATCCCTTCCCTCCCCTCCTTCAGCTCTCCCCTTCCATCTGAGAGTCATAAGTTCCCAGCAAGGGAAGTGGGAGGTTACAAAGATAAGAGACAGCCTCCTTCTGTCCCAGCAGCGGCAGGAGTCTGGCACAACTCAGAAGGTTCTACTGATGGACAAGGTCCCTAGTGTCATCTAGGAGGGCAGGGCTAAGCCAGGCTACTATGGAGAGTACGGAGCCCAGATCTCTGCCGGGACTACTGTGTTTTCGGGAGCTTTCCTGAGATGGGCAGTGGAGTCCAGGGAGGACTTGAAATGTGAGTGCTGAGTTCAAGGCCGCCCTCAGATGAAGAAACCATGTTCCCGTGCCGCCCCGTGATTGGGGAGGCTGTGTTTGCCGAGACATATTCCCCGCCCCCCCAACCCAGCCCCAAGCCACCCTGAGGCTCACCTGCACAGCATCCTCTTGGCTCTGGGACTGGACGGGCGCTGGCTGCCTCACAATGTAGTTGATCTGCCCCACAATGGTTTGCTGAAGATGCTGAGGGGATTTGGTCTGGTTCAGTTGTAGGCTGGGCTGTTGAGCCTGAAGGAGAAGCTCCAGGTCCTTCTGCATCTCCTCCAGCTCAAATTTGTGGTGCATTATATCCACGTTCTGGGAACAGGCAGGCCCAGGAGGGCTGCCATGCTGACTAGAAGCCGGATGCTGGGGTGGAGGTAGAGGTGGTGGCTGCTGCTGGGGTGGAGGTGGCGGAGGGGGTAGAGGGGGCAGCTGCTGCGGCGGCAGCTGCTGAAAGTGGCTGAGCTTCAGCTTCTGGTGGTGGCCGAACTGCACTTGGATAGAGGGGGTCTGCAAGGTGGGCTGGGCATGCGCCCCGTGCTGAACATCCTGTGGGGGCACGATGCATACAGGCTGGGAAGTCAGCTGCGGCCCGAGCCGCTGGGCTGGGTTCTCCTGCTCCCCGGGTGGCTGGCTTTCCAGCCAGGGCTGCATCAGCTTTGGGGGCTGAGGATTGCAAGCCAGCTCCTTCTCCCTGGGCAGCAGGGGAGAGCACTGCAGAGACCCCAGTTGCTGCGGTGCCATCTCAGAGGGCTGCCTGAAGCCGTGGGCTGGGTGTATGCTGGCGGGGGTGACCTGGCCTTTGAGGGAGGGTGAGGCTGGGGAGCAGTGGGAGCAGCACGCAGCGGAGGAACACAGTGCTGGAGACTGGAACTTGTGCGAGGGGTGGCTAAGAGGTTCTTGCTGAGCCACTGGGGACTGGTGGCTTTGATAAAAGGATGACGGTCCCTGTAAGCCTCCATAAGCAGGAGTATCTGCCCGGGACAGCTGTCCACCTTCAGTAGTTATACAGCCTGGAAATTCAGAACACAGAGTGTTTCCAAAGGTAATCTGCACTTGTTGCCCGCTTGCCGCTTCCTGCTCCTGGGACCAAAGGACATTATCCAATAAACCTGTACCCGGCGCAGAGATTAGCAAATTCAACCCTGATCTCCAAGATTCGGCCTAGAATGCTGCCAGCAATAGAAAGAGTGTGGACCTGTGGGGGCCAGGGCATTCGAGAAATTAGCTCAGCTATTTCCAGATGCTCAGTCTTCACTCTGTTTGTATCCCGCTAGAGAAACCATGGGCTCCTTCAAACAGCACCCACTCCTTTTGAACACAGACTCAAACAAACAAACAAAATCGACGTTGGGGCTGGGGAGGTAGCATGCTGGGAAACTGCAAAGGAGAGAGAGCCCACCCTGGGACAAAAGACCAAGTCTCCAAATATAGGTCTGGGGTGTTGTGTTTTGGGCAAGGAGGACAGAAGGAGTCGGGGAGCCCCAACATCATGTCAGTGACAAGTGCTAGCTTCGTCCTGAGGTCTCCTGGCCCTCGTGCATGAGTCTCCAGCTCAGTCTCATGGCTTCTTCAGCTCATTGTTTTAATGAGGCTTACTTGGGGGAAGACTCAGCAACTTGAGAGCCAGAGTTGTGTTCTATTCACCTTTGGTCCCTTAGCGCCCAGCATGGGGTGCGGGCCCACAGCAGGGGCCCACCAAAGGTCTGTTGAATTAAATCAAAGGGGAAAGGGAAGCAAAAAATAAACCTAAATATTATGCTGCACTCTGTCAAGTTCAAGAAACTTTCCTGGACATTAACCACCCAGATGAAGGCAGCCAGTGGCCATTAGCATAACAAACCTACATCAGGCCAGCAACACAGGTACAACCTCAAGTTGTCTACACTCTGCCTAAGACTGAGCACCAGGAAATCACTGCAGCAGGGAAGCTCAGAAATTATCTGCTTACATCTCAGCTCCAAGCGGGGGGGGGGTGACATGGCCCCTCTCCCTCCCTCCCTCCCTCCCTCCCTCCCTCTCTTTAATGCTGATACCCATTCGGTGCCTACACACACGAATACCCCTGTAGGACAACAGAGACACAAATCCAGCATTCTGGAGAACAGGGCCACTGTCTTGTCTCCTCTCCAGCAATGAAACCAAGGTAACAGGGCATTCATGCAGAATGGAAAGCTCAGATTTCAACTGGTCCTGTTACAAGAGTCCTGGGTTGCCACTGCTATTGAAGTTGTCCCCTCTCCCCAACACCCCCCCTCCCCAAACACACACACAGAGGTCTGTGAGTGACTCCATGACCACTGGCAGTCTCAGGGAGTACTTTCTCTTGGGCCTACGCTGACCTACCCAGTAAGCTAAGCAGATGCGCTCTACTCATTTTTAGCAATTATGTAAAAGCCCACAGGGTGGGCTCTGGCTCACCAAGGGAAGCCAGCTGCTTGGTCCAGAAGTTAGGCTCCCAGGTGAATCTGATACTCCAGGGGGAGCCTGGATCTGTGTTACAGTTTGTCTCCAGCAATCGCTGCATCTGAAACACAATCTGACAACAGCCCAAAAGGTCATTTCTGTGGACGTCTTGCATCTGAATGACAACTCCCTCTCTCTCACTCTTCGGACAGGTTGAAGGGCTTGCAGCCATGGGTCTTTAGCCTCAGGTCCCCCATATGTTCACTTCCTTGTACCTTGGTACCTTCACATCCCTCCCCCTGCTCTTGTCCCCTCCCCCTACCAGCTGATCCCCTTCCTCTTATCCAGGTTTCTGGATTCCCTATACTCTTGTCTGTTTCGGGCCTTGAATGGTTGGTAATTCTCCCTCAGGATCACCTGCCTGGCGGCCCTCTCAAGAGTTCCATTCATTCTACCATAACCTCAGTGTGAAAGCTTGTGGGGGCCGACTTTCTCTGAGCTCCCCACTGCTGTCCTTTCACCACATGTAAAACTCCCATCCTCATCAACTGCCCTCCTCTCCCCTCATCCCTTGCATCCATCTCCTATCATCAGCTCTCCCATGCATCCAGGACTTGGGCAAATGTCCAACTCACCCTGCCAGCATCTAGTTAACCGATGTCCCAGTCACCGTCTTGGCCTCTTCTTACTCCATCTCTTTAGTGCCAATCACCTTCACCTCTCTTTTCAGTTCGCGTACCGTACCCAGACCTCTTCTCCATCTAGAGACCTTCATCCGCAACGACTGACCCCCACTCTAACTAGCCCTCGCTGTTTCTGAGCATGCTCTCCAGCCTCACTGAACTCCCCAAGCCCCGCTCCATCAGTCCCTAGGGCCGGCCCAGCTTCCCGTCATTTCCAGTAACAGTATCACTAGGGCCTAATTCCCTCCGCATCACGACTGTCCATTAACCTTAGGTCAATCCAGCCATCCCAAAGCCATGTTATCTGGGGTCACTTCAGCGACCACTAACCTCGGGGGCACCCTGCTGTCTTTTCTCTTATCATTTCTTTTCTTGTTGGCTTCCTCTTCCACTACCCTCAATGACTAAAGTCCTCCCTTCTCTCCTCAGTTCCACTTACTCAGTGCCTAACTCTCTTATCACCTCCTACTTCAGAAAGGACAAAAGACACAAGAGACAAACTGCCCCAAACTGGTACCCTGCCTACCTCCAACCATTATATGGAGACCTTCCTGTCCTCCCTCCTCAGAGGAAGTGCCTTTTATGTTTAGGGTCAACTGGTTCCCTCTGCCTTCTCAGTATACTCACTCTACCACACATCTCTTTTCTCTATCATCAACCTCTTCTCCCAAATGCACTTGTGCAAATGTCTTCCATACTTCAAATCAATCCCCCAACTCTGTCTGCTTCTCAAGCTACCTTATTTCCTTTCTTTTCACTTCTGTTTCTACTTCCTCCTCTCCCCTCAGTCCCCCCATTCTAGCTTTTCACCCTCCTGTTTTGCTGGGATTTCTTTCAAAAGATCACCGGGGACCTCCTGATTCCCAGATCTCAAAGCTTCTCTTCACTACTCATCCTCTTTTACCTAGGTAGCAACGATAACATTGACAACTTGAAATTTGAAATTCTGTTAATTTCTATGCACCACCCCTCCTACTTTTCCTGCAATCCATCTTGGACTGTTGCTTCTCACCCTCCTTCATTCTTATTCTTCCTCTGTCTATGTTGAGAATGCTATTATTTCCCTCGGTTCCAGATGTCTTGTCTTCTTCCTTCACACGCTCTTCCGAAGTGACACCACCAATACCCCAGTGACTCCCACATCACTATCCCCAACCCTGACTTTCCTTTTGACTTCCAGACCCATCAGTTGAAATAGATTTTGGACATCTCCTTTGAGATGCCCTGCAGGCACCTTAGATTCAACATATCCCAATACAAACCCCACCAACTTCTTTCAAAATTCTCGCTCCTTCTCCTGGTCTTCACCACCCTCACAAGCCGAATACCTCAACATCATCCTCAATGCCTCCTTCCCTCTTAGCCCCCATTTAAATACAAACAACTGTCCCTGGGATGTCCAGAACACTGCTAGTGTCCAGGCTCATGCCCAAATCCATGACCTAACACAGAACTACAAAATTTCCCATCTGACTTGCCTCGAGGAAAGCAAGACCATTTCAGCACCTGTCCTTGGCACTGTGGGGTTCGGTAAAAGATAGGTTTCACTTACTAACCCAAAAGCAGTGATTGATGAGTTGGAGCTCTTACCAGCTCTTTGCTGAACAGGAAAGGGACACTGGTTTTGCTGCAGACGGCCCAACTGATGAAGTTCTGCACATGTTCAAACTGACGGTTGAGGACCATGATGCTCTGTAACTGCTGCTCCAGCTTCCGCTTTCTCTCATTAGTAATGCCCTGGGTGTGGGCAGAGAAGACAGAGTCTCTCATCCTGTTCTTGGACTTCAGTCCACCTGTTTGGGGAGTCTGGTGGCCCCGTGCCTCAGTGTGAACCCTGATGGGGTCAGACAAGACTGCGTCCCCGAGAGGATGACAGTGGGACAGACTGCTGCCACGGGCGGCAGAGGGACGCAGGAAGGAAGGGAGCATGGTGGGCGGATTTTATAGTGCCAATAGGGAATGGGTGATAAATGAATGAGGACATGAACAAATGTCCACATCTCGCGGGCATAACTTGTTTCACGACCCTCTCTTCTGAGGCTAGAAGCCTGCACAGTCCAGGAAGGCAGTTGCCTTAAAGCCATAGCACTGATGGGAGTTTGAACTGACTTTCTGGCCCTTAACGAGCCATGCTCCCCAAATGAGATCTAGGGACATTTTAAGATATAGGGACCAGTAGAGAGCTATGCAAACTGCACATCCAAATCCAGCTCAGGCATCTCTGAGCCCTGGGACTAGTTTGCCTGGTTTTTGACCTAGGGAGAACACCAGCCCATCCATGTGACCCATCTGTCCTCATATACCTCCAACTCCTCTATGAGCCCGTTGGCCTGTTTGTTCAGCTCATTCATCAGAACCATCTTGGCCATTTTGATTTGGTTTTCCACCTTCCTGTGTTGATGCTTCACCTCAAAAATCCTATAAACAGAATGGGACAGAACATGGTGAGCTCCTCTCTTCAGGCCTATGAGGGCCTAGAGAGAGAAAACATAACAGCCAACAACTTAGAGGCTGCCTATGAAGATCAGGGCCCAGCAGGCACCAAATATAAAGAAATGAGAACCTTTCTCCACCACCCTAACCTTGGTACAACCCAGCCCACTCGATCTAAGGGGGCCAACAGCCCGAAACTCAACCAGGTTTTCTCTAGGTAAAGCTCAGGTCCATACTCAGGTCAACCCAGCCGCTCACTGGTTACACAGCACTGGAGACAGCACAGAGAGAGTGAGTCATGTCATCTGTTGTGTTAAAAAGGTGGATATCCATTAAACAATGCCATGCAGTAAAAATAGCATGGGCTAGAGTAGTCTACCAAAGTAGACTAATGGTTGCCAAGGGCTGGGGATATTGCGGGGAATGGGGAATGGACTACTAATGTGTATCATTTGTCTTTTGGGAGTGATAAAGTATTCTAAAAGTAAACAGTAATACTGATTTACACAACTCTGTGAATATACTGAAAACCACTGAATTGTACATTTTACAAGGGCAATGTTATGGTATATAACTTATATCAATAAAGTTTTTTTTAAAAAAGAACATGGGCTTTGAAGTCACACAGATCTGCCTTCCAAATCCAGTTCAGTCACTGACTAGCTGTGTGATCTCAGACAAATCACCTGACCTCTCTGAACCTCAGTCTCCTTACCAGTACAATGGAGATAATCCAACTCAAAGAATTATAAGAATTGTACAAAATCATGCATGTAGGTGCCCTACTCAGTGCCCACCACATGATGAGCTCTTAGTACCTACTAATTCCTTTTCCCACATTAAATATCAATGGTTCCATATCACTTGTAGATTTATATGGAACACACTGGGAAAGGGTGGATAAAGGGCAGATTGCCACTGACTTACTGCATCCTTGTGATAAACCCAGAATCTGCTTTATGCCCTCGTTCTCAAGCACCTACCTCTGGCTATGTCATGGCCACGTTCAGAAGGCATGTGCTTAGGCCCAAACTCACACTGATCATCCTGACTGAGCTTGGTTCCATCTCCCAAGTCATGACCCAAAGCCCTTTCAGTGGCCACAAGACCTCTAAGTTCCAAGGCATATGCCTTCTGGGACATATGCCCACATCTGCTTAACCTCCGGCATTCTTCATAAGTACTACATCTCATACCCTGGTATCAGGATCCAGGATGTCAGGAAATGTAGCATTTCCAGCATTGGCAAGGGGCTAGTGTGTGTTACCTGTCCTCAATTTGTTTTGCAGATGTCTGTAGACTAGATTTCTTATGAGCCACCTGTGTAGTCACACTTTCTAGAAGCATCCTCTGGTTTTGCAAAACTTCTTCAAGATGTCTGCACCTAAAGAAGGAGACAGAGAAAAAGCTGAAGAGGGCCGAGTCTTCTGAGCATGCCAGCCAAGCAAGAACCCCCAACTGTGTATTGTCTCAGCCAGGCCCACAGAAGCTAGCATTACATCTAGGGAAAGCGCTGAGTCTTGGCCCTTCGAGCCTTCTCCAGAGAAGGCCCACAGCGGGAACAGAGGAAAAACTTCAGCCTCAGGGCCCCAGACTGGCATAAGCAGGGAGAACATTTTGACATGACACACTGGGAGCCCAGCGCTAGCAAAGCGGAGCCCAGAGCCCTCCTGAGCCCCCTTTGGGCAGCCAGGCAGCCACACCTGTGTTCTTTGTGATCCACCATGAGGCAGCTATGGCACGTGAGCACATCACAGGTCTCGCAGAATAGCTTGAGCACTTCCTGTGTGTGTATAGGACAGTACAAGGCGAAGTCTCCAGAACCGCCACTCACTCCTGCCAGAGAAGATAGAGAAAGTGGGCTTCTCTTGCTGGGGAAGACTCTCAGGTAAGCTCCACTGAGCAGCCCTCACCCTCAATGGACACAGGGGAGACCCAGAGTCGGAAGGAAGGCGGTGCAGACAAGAGAGGCCTCTCTCTGGGCCAGTGAGGTTTTAGGAGCCCAAGGAAGAATGCGAGCTGAGCCTGGCAGGATTTGCCCAGCTGTGCAGAAATCACACATCGCCCAGCCCCACACACACCACTGCCTGCCTACAGCTGAGGAAGGTGCTTGCTGCTGCAGCCCACAGATCTCCTACAGAGTGATGAATCCTCTAAAATTCAACTTAAACCTCTTCATTCACCAGGATGCTGGTGGGGGGGTGGAATCGGGGTGGGGGGCTCCAGGCCAGATCATATGGATCATTAACTCTGGTTCCTGTGGGGGCCACAAAGGTAAACCCCCCCGCCACAGTTCAAAGATCCCGGGCAAAGACGGTCAAGAAGACTGTCATTTACAACAAGAGGCACTGGATGGACAAATGGATAAGCCCTGATCTGGGCTGTTTAATTAGGTAAGTCACTAAACAGAAGTGAGGCATGACTGCTCTAAATGGAGGTGAAAGTAGGGAACTCAGCTAGCTCCCATGATAATTCATGACTACTCCTCCCTGCACATCTTGTTCACACCCCCCCTCCCCCACCCCCCAAGGGAGAGCCCAGCATGAACTTGTCCCCTGGGAAAGGCTGGGAGGCCACCCCTACCCGCACCCCTAGTAGGGAAACAAGGTGAGAAAGAGCCGCTCTCCAGAAGTTTGCAGTCCGGGCGCTGCTTCGGGGCGCGTGAGCCAGCAAGGACTGCAGGGAGAGCTACCTGGCGGTCCCTTGTGGGCCCGAGAAAAGAGCGGGCCCCCGGGGGCAGGGCCGTGCCGGTGCTCCTCGGTGCACGAGCTGCACAGCCAGCGGTTGCAGTAGGTGCACAGGATGTGTGCCACCCTCTTCTCCTTGCACTCGGAGCAGTTCTGCAAGCACAGAGGTCTGTGGTTACTGACCCGATCCTCCTCCAGGGCAAGGGGGGGGCGGCCTCTGTGAGGGGCTGGGAGCCTGGAGGGCTGTTCCCTGGAGGGCAGTCAATTCTGGAGAGCCGCATGGCAGCTTGTGAAGCAAAGCACCCTCTGTGGCTAAAACAAGAGTGGCCTCAGGGGCTATTCCCCCCAGGTCCCATGCTGCAGATGAGGACACCCGAGTAAGTAAGGCAAAGGGGGGCTCCCCAGGCACACACAGCCCGCATGGAGTGGCGGCCGGTCACAGTCAGATGCTAAGGAAGCAAAGTGGGGTTTCCCAGGGGCTCAGCCTCGGAGGTGCCAGGACCTAATTTCATGAGGAGGTAACTTCTGATTGGATAGGGAATGACAAGTAGAAGTCTGCCAGGCAGACGAAAGAGTGAGATGGGAGAGCACAGGCAAAACAGGAAATTCCGTGTGCCCGCAAAAAGGGGGCAGCCACAGTTGTGGGAGTACAGAGAGATGATCACATATGGCCAAGAAAGAACAAGTACAGACCAACTCTCAGAGCCGTGCTTCCACAGCTGGGGCTTGCTGCGCCCAAGAGAACCTGGTCCTCTCCTAGTCCAGATGTTCATTCATTCGGTCAGCAAATACCTTGCAGGGCTGATGTAAAAACATGAGTAAAAAAGGAGATTTGGAAAAAGTTGGCCTGTCTGGGCCTGAGTAAGACAGGCCATCAAAATGACGTGGATTCTGACAGTGCCCTCGTACTGGCATCTGACAAGCCCACACTGGGGGAAAAAAAAAGAAGAGAAATACAAGTTTTACTAATTAAACTATGAATTCCTTGAGAGTTAAGAACATGGGTGTCCATCTCCCTAGCACCTAGCACGGGGCCCGGCATGTACCAGACATTCAATAAGAATTAGATACAGGATCAAGTAAGTAGATTGGCCAAATGGATCAAATGCAGTGGCAAGGGTACCCCAGAGGGGAGAGGAATAGGAGGTGCTAGTCAGGAAGTGATGTGAAATTTTAGAAACTCAGGAAGAAGGTATTAGTTGCTAAATACAGGCAAAATTGATGAACCCATTTAGTTAAGCTGGTGTTTAAGTTTCAACTCAGGGGGAGAAAAAAAGGAAATAAAAGCTCAGTACTAATATTTTCCAGTAAGAGCTATAAGAGAGAGAAAAAATACCCCCATTTTACTTTCCCCAACTCAAATATTTTGATACTCTGTGGATAGAAGGAAAGAAGGAAGGAAGGAAGGAAGGAAGGAAGAAAGGAAGGAAGGAAGGAAGGAAGGAAGGGAGGGAGGAAGGAAGGGTGGATGGATGGAGGGGTGGATGGATGGGTCTTTGGATGGGTGAATGGATGGGTGGATGGATGGATGATTAGGCAAACTGATGGAGGAGTAACAAGTCAAATGAAGTGATGGGTGAACAGGTGAATTTATGAACAGGGGCCCCAAAAATTTCTGAAAAGGATCAGCTATTTCTTTACTTGTCTAGACTTACCCTGGCCATCTTGGATCACCCAGTAGAAATGCACTGCAGAAAAAAATGTTCAGTTACATCCCTGGTAAGTTATACTCGCTTACATCCAGGAGAGGAGATGAGTTCTGGGAGAGCGGCAAAAAAGCAGAGTCAGGGCAATATGGCAGATTATACATAAGGCCTAGACACAAGGCTTTTTAATACACAACACCAAGGTATGTGCCAATACCACTTATGCCAAAATGAACTACATTTGACGTCATGGCCTGCACTTACCATCTGGGTACTCTGGACATGACCATCCCAGTAGGGGCCAGCCCTACAGACCTCCTCGCTAGTCCTACTTTCCTGCCCTCCTCACAAGCTATTCTATCACAGGCCCAGCCCTCTTCTGGTTCTGATAACCTGGGTGCCTTCCTGCTGCTCCCACTCCTCATTCCCCAGCTCTGAGAGCCCAGCTCCTGTTACTGCCTAAGTTCCAGGGTTTCAGTTTAGCCCAGGGCATAGATCCAGCCACTAAGGTTCCCACACGGCAGAACAACTTTAAGGATCTCACAGCTAGAGCTTCGAGCAAGCTCTCCCCAGAGAAAGCAAGGTCTCCTTGCCTGCTCATCTAGGAGGTATTTTTCTCTTACTACCGCCAACACCAATCAGTCTGCCCCATGGGGCTCAGAGAGTTTTTGCTGGGCCTTCTCCATCCAGCCACGCTGCATGCACTGCACATGTGTATCTCTCACCTGTGAACATGAACATCTTGTCCTACCCCCTTTCCCTAGAGAAATGTAACTGTCTCCAACACTTTCCTCAGCATAGGGGGTACCGGGACTATATAAGCATCATGGAGACAAGAGTGCTCTCTGGGCCACCTCAAGAGCATGAACCCCACTGCATGCAAGGAAATGAGGCTCCTGAGTAGGGCCAGGTGCCTGTACCCAGGCATGAGGGCCACCTGCAAAGCGGTGGCTATGGTAGCGAATGTAGCACGACCACCACAACCTTCTCGGCCCCATATCATCAAAATGCCACAATGGCAGTTGCAGTCAGACCAACCAAAGTCTAAATACCAGGTTTATCAACCGGTGACCTTGGTTGGGCAGGTCAGTTAATCTCACTTAGCTCCTCTGCGCTCCAGTTTCTTCAGATGTAAAATAGGAAGGGAAAAGAAGAGTTGCCTTGAGGTTTAAATTCTGTAATACTTGAGAAGGCACCTGATCCTCCACAAATGTGGACTGAATTAAAAAGATTTCTCGTATCCCATTCAGGGCAAGGCCAGGACCTCAATTGTCAACTCTCCCGGGTGATCAAAGTCAGAGTCGGAGAGGTCGAGCGAAAATATGGCCGTAAGTTCTTCCGCCCCTGCATCCATGCTCGTCCAATCCTAGCCATGAAAAGGTGGAGTCTATCCTCCACCCTTGGAAGCTAGGCGGCCTTCGTGACCTGCTCTGGCCAACAGAGCACAGCAGAAGTGAGACTGAACAAGTTCCAAGCCGAGACCTCAAGTGGCTTTGTATGATTCTGCTCTGCTCTCAGAACTCTAAGACTGTCCACATGGACAACCCCAGGTTAGATCTGCTGTAAGATGAGAGACCAGCCAGACCAATGCCTTGGTTGTCTCAGGGGCTCACTCATAAACCAGTTAGACCCAAGTGACTCGCCAGCTGAACACAGACACAGGAGTGAACACCACCGAGGTTAGCCAAGCCCAGCCAAGCCTAGCCAAGCCCTGAAGAACCACCCAGAGAGTCCCAGTCCAAATTGCTGACCTATAGAATCATCAATAAAATACAGTTTTTGTTAACCACTAATTCTTGAGTGTCTCATAATGCAGCAAAAGCTAACTGATCTATCCTGCAAAAATCAAAATCTATATCATGCAAAGTAATAATTCAATACTCTTTCTCCCCTACCCCTCCTTTAACCTCCCCACTGAAGAAACTCTCCCCAGCCTTCACAGAGCCATCTCCCAGATAGTCTCCTGCCTATCAAGAACAGTGGCCAGAGGTGAAGAAAAATGCTCTTCCCTGGGGAATCAGGTGACTGTCCCCCCCTTCCCCTTGGCTCACCCCGGGGAGACCCTCCTCACCTACCCTCGATTCAGAAATGCTGCTCTATTTGTTGAAAATGATTTCCACAAGGCTTCTAAGCCCCTGGCAGCAGATGCCCAAACATCAGTCTCATGAGCATCATGAAAAAAGAGGAATAACTGAAGAGATCAGACAAGGCCTCATAGCAAATCCTCCACTGCCCCTGGCCTTAAATGCCAAAGTCCTCATCTTGGTGCTCACGGCCCCTCCCAAGCTGGACTTACCTCTCTCTAGTCTCATCTTCCACTTCACCTGCCGCATACCCTGTGTCCCTGCCAGGGCAACAATCTCTGCTGTCTTCTGAATATCAAACCTCTGCCTAACTCTGTTCCCTCTCCCCTCCTTTTCAGATAAACTCCTATTCATCCTTTCAAACCTGTTTGAATGTTCTACCTCAGAGAAGCAGGGTTGATTTCCCTCAGGATGAGTTAATTATTCCCTCTTCTGGGTTCCCACAGCACCCTGAACACCCTTCTAGTATGACAAATATCACATTGCATTTTAACTATCTCTTCATATGTCTGCATACAAAAATAATCCACAATTGGCACTAAAGGATACTGCGTGATTTTTAGCAGATTGGACAATTATACTCCTTTTGGGTTTGGGTATCCCGTGCGTATTCCTTGCACTCACAGCCACCGAAAGTGGTAAAAAGTCATCTGGAAGCTTTCAGGGTGATGAGAAAAAAAGCCAGCCAGGATGATAAAGAATCAGGTCCAATCCAGAGCAGGGGTGTGGTGCTTGGGAAAGGCTGTGAACTGGGAGATGTGGGTTCCAGGCCCAGGGCTGGCATTGTCTGTGTAACCTCAGGTAAGTGACCCCTTTCCCCCTGAACCTTACTTTCTACATCCTTAAAATTAAGGGAATAGGAATAGCAGGGAATTGTGAATTATCCAACCCTCTTCCTCTGCTTCCTGCACCCAAGTATCAGAAATATTCCCCTGGGCAAGACTGGATGGGGCAGAGAGCCAAACAGTGACCTGCCTATCACCTTTGTGAGCAAGTCAGGGGACAGGTTTATGGCTTAGGAGAGGCATACATCTCAAAGCTCATCCCACTGAAGAGGGGCAGCTGCGGCGAACAGCAGAGCTGGAGCACCATGGCAGTGATACGAGCAGGTCCCAGGGAGGCTGTGGGGCCCAGAGTGGACACAGAGGACGTGGGCTCTCTTTGGGTCACAACATCTTTTTTTTTTTTTTTAAGATTTATTTATGTTGGGGGGTGCACACATAAGTGGGAGGGGCAGAGGGAGGAGAGAGACTCTCAAGCAGCCTCTGTGCTCAGCACGGAGCCTGATGTGGGGCTCAGTCTCACAACCCTGAGATCACGACCTGAGCTGAAACCAAGAGTTGGAAGCTTAACCAGCTGCACCATCCAGGTGCCCCGGGTCACAGCATCTTTGTCCAGAAATTCTTATCTTCCGTCAGAATGTCCCTAACCCCCAACAAGCTGTGTTAACTTTGAGCTTTTGTTTCAAGAGGGTTCCCCATTCTTCAACGTGAACACCAAACCAGTGGGTTTTTTTTAATTTTTAAATTTTTTATTTTTTATTAGGCTCCATACCCAGTGTGGAGCCCAATGCAGGGCTTGAACTCACAACCCTGAGATTAAGACCTGAGCTGAGATCAAGAGTCAGCTCAACTGACTGAGCCACCCAAGTGCCCCCAAAGTTTTATTTGGGACAACTGGAATACGTGAACCCGGAGGGCTGCAGATGTATATATAAAATAACCAAACATCTGCTTATGGTATTTAATGCTTAATATTTCATACTTAGTTATTAATACACATTTAAATCACATATTACATAAAATATTTATATACACTTCCCTCTCTCTGTTTGGATCATTCAAATGATAGCCTTACGCTTTTATTTCATACACAAGAATATCAATTCTGAGCAATGTAGAGCCAGGATCCAAAGGCCACACACAACCATCCCTATAGGAAGTGGGGCTTCTGCCTCCCAAATGAAGAAGCCACAGGCACCAGAGTTCTCCTGGGGATCTAGGGGACTGGGAGAGAAGCTCTGAAAGCCCAAGGTATTCAGTCTGCCTGTCATAAGAGTGAGCACTCTGGTCCCTGGGAGGTGTGGGGCAGATGATTCTCTTACCACCAGTCCCTGCACCAGCCCTTCACGTGTGTTATTTCATTCAATCGTCAAATCACCTCTGAGAAGCAGGCATTATCCCCATTTCATAGCTGGGGAGACTGAGGCTCTAAGACGTTGCCACCTGGCAAAGATCATACAAAACAGGGGCAGAGCTATGACTGGAATCCAAGTCTCTCTGATTCTAAAATCCAGCCCTTTCCATTATGCTATAGCTCTCTAATTCAAGTGTAAACAAATTAATTAATTTGATAATTTTATTATAAGTAAAATATTCCACAATAATGATCAGACTCTAACTTTGGATTATGGGATCCAGAAGGAAGGAGCTGGGAGCCAGCCCCATCTGTGCTTCAAGTTTTAAGAAATACGATCTTTGAGGAAAGGTAGGTGAAGAAGATTTTTCCACCTGGTACTAAATCTGGGGATAGTTTCATATTATAGAACCAGTGATTCTCAAACTTTGTTACATATTTGAATCCAATGGGGCACTTTAAACATCCTGATGTCCAGTCCATATCAACTAAATTGAAGTTTTAGGAGGTGGAATCCAGGCATAAGTATTTGTTAAAATTCCCCAGGTGATTACAATATACAACCACGTTTGAGAACCAGCACCTTAGAGCATCCCCTGCCCCTGTACCTGAGCCTGATAGCTCTTTCCCCATACCATACAGCTGAGAAGGGCTGGATCACCCAGTTTTAAAGAGGCTCCTCAAAGTTAGGAAACATCCTGAATGCAGCTGTGATGTATCTCCCCTCTGGCAGGGAAGGGAGGAGGGCAGATTCCTGACAGACAGCAGGGTGTCCTGATACCTGGGTACCCTGGGGATTGGTGGTGAGTTGGAGGACACATCCTGCCTCCCCTAACTCCCAGCTCCACTGAAGGACCCACAGTCTAAGGGCTCGGGAGGCTGCCTGAGCTTTGGCACTACAACCACTGCTGCTGGGGCCTAGAGTGTGCTGAGCTCAGGACTTAGTGGGGCAGCAAAGGAGTGGGGGTCAAGACTGGGGAGTCCACCCTTAGACATGGAAAGCAGCGCCAAGGCAACCTGGGGACCAGGGGCCTAGGCTGGGAGAGAAATCCCAAGGAGGTTTAAGAAAGCTAGCATTGGGTCAGCTCAGCCCACCAGGTAGGGACACATAAACCCCAGACACATAAGCCTGAGCCCGGTGCCACGCAGCCCACCAAGGGTTAAGAAGTCCTTCATTCTACAGCTCCTGTCCATGACTCCAAGGAACTTTACAGCTGGGGCCCAAGCTCTGACACCCACAGAGCAGTGGCATCCTCGGAAGCAGCCTGACGCTCCCTGCCAGGTCTCACCTGTAGAACCAAAGCTGGACAGACCTAGCTTTTTGCATGTAGCCAGATCCCTCACCATACAGATGGTGACATGGAGGCTCAGAGAGAGGGAGGGACTTAGCTGAAAGCCACGGAGCCCTTATAAAATATAGGTACTACCTCGAACCACTGAGCAGTCCCTGATTACCTACCTCTGTAACCACGAGTAAGACATTCTACCTCCTCATGCCTCTGTCAGTCACTAGGCAAGGAG